GGCTCCTGGGGCCAGCGGGCAGCTGGTAATAGTCGGAGTTGGGTTAATGTAAATTCAGGTTTGTTGAGTGAACAAGCAGAAAGGGAAAGGGAATAATAATAAGATAAACAAAAACGGTTGAACTTTTCTTGTAGCTTCTTTCGAGACAGAGTCTTACTTTGTGGTTCAGGCTAGCTTCCAACTCACTGTAGAACCCAGGCTGGCTTTGCAGTGATCCTCCTGCCTCAGCCTCCCGAGTACTAGGGTTACAGCCATGCACCACCATGCCCAGCTAACAGTGGAACTTTTGTAGCATATTATTTGTTTTTTAAGTGAAAGTTTGACAGAAGGTTTTTTTGAAAATTAAAAATCTATTAAACTAGGTTCTTCGGAGATGCACTGATTACATCTCCAGGATCAAAAACTAGAAACAATTTGGCTGTGAGTACAGCCCCACTAGATTTATGAGACATTCCTACAAACTGTCTGTATCACCGAGAAACCTCAGTTCTTAGCTCTGAAGGATTCCTTTCAGAGAGCAAAGCCTGTGTTAACAGGAATATGCACACATATCCATGTGCTGTGTATCCCAGGTGATTTAAGAATCTCACTTGTAAATCTTCAGGGCAAGAAGCTTGTTTACACTAAAGCCAAGAAAGGTGAATGGGCTGAGGATAACATGAAAGCCTTTTACCGTGCTTGCTAAGTCACGAGTCCAAGAACACAAACAGGTTAAGTTTGCTCTCACCACAACTAGAAGCGAGATTTTTTACTCAGTTAGTACAACAACTGCCAGAAGCATGGGGAGTCTGCAGAAATTGCCTAGCAACATTCCAAATGTTGGGTGTGGAAAGGAGCCAGCAGTCTGTCCCGGGGCGGGTGGGTGGGACTCCTCTTCCCAGTACAGTGTGTGCTGTTCTCCAGGGAGAGGAGCGTGAAGTTTAAAAAATCAGAACAGTCACTTCAGATTTCGGTTAGGATGTTGCTGTCATTAAACTGTAACATCGTGTCTGCCATGTGCTTAGTTGGAGGAGGCAAGGCCTTGGTTTCTTTTCTTTTGGCATTTTTGTTTTAAAGATGAATTATTCAAGCCAGGTGTGGTGGCACACGCCTGTAATCCCAGCACTCGGGAGGCTGAGGCAGGAGGATTGTTGCAAGTTCGAGATCAAAGTTCGGCTACAAAGTGAGCTCACTGCCGGCCTGAACTGCACAGTGAGACCCTGCCTCAAAAAGACAAAAAAAAAAAAAAAAAAAAAAAGAATTATTCCAGAAACATTTATTAAGCACCTTCTCAGTGTCTAAGGCACAGTGCTGATCGCTGGAGCTTCGAAGACAAAAAACGTTTCCAGCAGCTGTAGGTAGGAAGGAACCCAGACAAGTAAACAAAATTATGGTGCTCCTGGCAGGTGTGTGTGTGTGTGTGTGTGTGTGTGTGTGTGTGTGTATGAGAGAGAGAGTGAAGTTAGGGTCTCCGGAATGCTAAGCAATCGATCTCTTACAAAGCTTTATCTCCAGCCCCTACTGCTGGGTCTTTTTATTTTTTTATTTGATGGTACTGGGAACTGAACCAAGAGCCTTCACACTGAGCTACATCCCCCAGCCCTTGTTTTATTTTGAGACACTATCTACCCAAGTCACTAAGTTGCCTGGACTGCCCTTGAACTTTCCATCTTCCCAATTTAGGAAACAAACCATCAAACTTTTTGTGTGTGTGTGTTTTTGAGACAGGTTTTCACTATGCAGAGTGCTGGGATTACATGCCACACCTTCATCTTCACTAAACCTTTTAAGTAAGTTGTTTTTTCCTTAATCAGTCATAAGCTAGTGAATACCTAAACTGCACCAAAACACTGCAATAAACAAGATAGAGAAGTCCCTGCCCTGAAGGCCCTACCTAAGTTTTTCTAGAAAGGGATAGTAACAAATAACCCGGAGAGAGCTAGAACCCGGTTAAGGCCATAAAGCAGGATGCTGGGAAAGAGTGGATGTGTGTGTGCCGGGGCTGGTGGGCTTGCACGATTAACAGTGGGGTACACAGAATCCTTATGCAGGAGGGACTCTGGAACAAAAGAGCTGCGGAGAGGAGTCTAAGGGATTTGGGAGTTCCCATTTACCTAGAAGGCACACTCTACGACAACACCTAACAGGTCAACAAAAAACAGCAATTTTTAAAGGTTATTTACATTCACACAAAATGGAGAAAATGTTAACTGTTCCTATCAAAGAATTTTGTCATGAGAAATGACAGCAGGAGAGGTATTGGGGGTGGTGGTGCTAGCAACCATCCCGTGCCTCTGGAAGTTGGGGTCAGAGAAAGCCTCTCCCTAAGTGTCCCCAGGTAGAGTTCCGGTCCGCTGAAACTTAGGCCCTTTAAATCCAGGTTCGCAGGCCAAAAGGACACGTTTTACATCAGCTAGCAAATGTCTAACCTTTCACTGCATCATCAGTTGTGATGTGAGGAACTTCTCCGTGGTGAGTACCAAGTTATGTTTTCATTTACTAAAACCTGTCCGCATACCACCTAGCACAGAGTTAACAAGCAGGAACAGGAATAAATGCAAATGGCCATTCAAGCCCTGACTACTGTTCAGTAATGTGAATCAAAACAAATCCACATTAATAAACCTGAAATAAGTACTGACATTCAGAACTCACAAATGTGTCCAAACCTAATGCAAATTAGAGCATGCAAATTCTTTCTGGAGGACAGTTTGGCAGCTTTATAGGCTTTATTTGTTTGTTTGTCTCTTTGAGAGCCTCTAGTTATGCAGTTTAGGCTGGCCTGGCTCACTTTGTAGCCCAGGCTAGTCTAGAATTTGCAACGATCCTCCTGCCTCAGCCTCCTGAGTGCTGGGA